CCTTGATACCCTGCTCCTGGTGGATGTATCCAAATAGCCCAAAGGGTCCAGGTACCCAATATTTAGGTCCTTTTAAAGGGAATATATAGGGGTATATAGGGTTTAGGGTTTAGGGGTCCATGTACCCAATATTTAGGTATTTGGGATTTGGGTAATAGTAATTATAATACAGGTTTTGGGTAAGTATATGATTATTGGGTACTTGGACCCTTAGGGTAAGTTGGAACGACTCATAGGGGTTATATCGCAGATTGCATAAATGGGGGACCCCAATTCTTGACCCCCAAACACTATAGTCCATATTGTGCTGCTAGGTACACCTAAAAGGTAACCCTAATTTTTGAAAACCCCCCCCCATTATGGGGGGTGATGTAGAGGTTACATAAAGTTGTTATGCGGGCTACATAGGTCAATACCTCGAAGTGAGAGCTTCCCGCAATTAGAGGTACCTTTTAGAGTCCCCAGAACAAGGGTTACATTCTTTGGGTCCATATATTGGGGTGCCCCCGTATCAGGAAACTTCTAAGCCCTCTTACTGTAGCTTTTGGGACGATTTCGGTTCTGGCATCCAATGCCCTCACCCCCATGGGGTTTACCGGTTTACCCAGTTCATGGTGGAGGATTTGTGATTTAGGGTGTAGGGCGTGTAGGGTGCAGGCGAGCACATCCCTGAGTAGGAGACAGTCAAAGTTGGCCTGGACCTCACTTCTCAATGGCCTTGATCTGGGGTCAGAGATTGTTGAGAGGTGTTCCTCAGAAGACCCCTCAAGTATCCATCTCTTCACGTTATATGAAAAAGCCTGAACTTAGGGGCTGCAGGTGCAAGTTTCCAGGCCGTGACCTTCTGGAATCTTCAATACAGGGATTTGGGCTCAGACGCAAGCCTCGACTTGCGTATCGAACTCCGCAAGGCATCGAACAGCCCGGCAGTTGCATGAAAACGAGATGAACCGCAAACCTTGAAGCAATTAAACCTACCGGCCCCCCCCCCCCAGCCCCAAAAAGCATGGGCCCAAGGTTTAAGGTTCAGGGTCTAGGGCTTCACATCGAATGGTAGCCCAGATGGTGATTCTTCGATCTGACACTCCGTGAAGGTGCACACACATGATTCCTTTTTGAACGCCCGTTTGCTTGCTGGAGAGCTAGCCCGTCATCATGCATGGAGCTCAATTCCCTAAACCCTAAACCAAGAAGTTTATCCTTTTCACCCAGAAGAGACTCAGCTTGCCTGATGCGAAAAGAATTTGAAATCATACTACATCAGGGTTTTGGGGCTTAGTATTTAGGGGCAGCAGGCGGGGGAAGGAGCGACGCGGAGGAAGAGGATAGCCCTACCCGCTTCATTTCCCTAAAGGGCCCACATACACAACAACTCAAGAATTGGGCACATGGGATTTCTAGTACTTGCAGCAGCTAGTAATTGTAGTGCAGATGTTGGGCAAGTCTAGAACAATTGGGTGCTTGGAGCCCTGGGGAGTCCTACAGCCAGAACCCTGAAGCCGTTTTTAGACAAATTGTGATACTAGTAACAATAATAGTAGTAATAATAAAGGGTCATATGGGAAGGCTATACAGGAATAATAATGGGACAGTGAAAAAGACAATGGAGACCATTATTAGTATATTAGGGTATCTATGCGTTGCAGCTGCGATGGCGGCAAAGGGCCTTGAGGAAAGCATCGGCGTTCCAGCTCACAGTCACGAGAACTCTTTGGAGGACACAGTGCCTCAGCATCGTAGAGCTCAAGGTTTGAGGCTGAAGGGCTGAGAGTTAAAAGCTTCTCGCTTGTAGGGAGTTCGCGTGTAAAACTCTGCAGGCATGGCTGTTTTAGAGTTGGGGGTACTATATAGGGGTTTTATAGGGATGCTATAAGGGTTATATACTGATGATGGAAAAGAAAATGGTAACTACTATTAAGGGTTTAGGGTACGAGGGTTCCTTTCAACGCGTGGTCCGGACTTGGCAACATTGACACAGTTTTAGACATTCTTGACATGCCAGCATCTACCGTACTTACAGCTTTGCAAGAAGCTCCAGTTGCATGCAGCACTGTGAACGGTGGCCATATGTTCACTTCGCAGAGAGCTCCAAAGTGCAGTACTTTGAACAACAATTTTCAAAAAGAACGGTGCATGTCCTGGAAGATGGGGTCAGGCCATGTTGTACCAGTCGGGAGTCAAGCATTTTTATTACAACACTCAGGCAAGCGACGCTTCCGATCATCTATCACCGGATGATCTGGAGGTTTTACTGGAGCCGTTTATTCAGATGATGTCCCAGATGCAAGCCACGCAACCCGGAGTTGTGCGGGGCATCCGCACGTCTCGAGTCTTGCAGAGGTCTCCTTGGCTGTGGAGTAGGGGAAAGCTTTCCAGCCTGCATGCCTTCACAGAGGTGACGACCCAACTTGATGAATTTTGGTCGCACAGCTGGCAAACGAAGCCATGGATCAAGTATGTCAGCTTGGTTTTTCTTAGCAATGGCTTACCAGCATTTATCTTGGGCACGCTTTGCGCCCTAGCCGGCTTTTCCGCCCAAGCGGCTGGTCTGGTCGTAGGGAATTGGTGCACTGCCTCTGGGGCAGTGGGATACTACATGACTTTATTGCTTCTAGCTCCGCAAGGACCATGCTTGTGTCTTTTGAAGTTTGAAAGCAACTTCAACCCAGGCATCTACTGCACCATGCTGGGGGTCCAAGCATGTCCACGCCCCCATGCTTCTTCTTAGAAATTCTCCTCAAGTAGATGGCATATCAGGTTTGTAAGAAGATCTTTTCCAATAACTCTATGCTGCATTCAAAAGACCTTATAGAAACCGCGCAAGGGACCTTGATAATCTCTTTCGATCCCTACCGGCTCGGATGCCCCGTGATGCCCCAAAAGCATGAATGCCGGCCTAATGCTGAACCTCCAGCTGGGCAAATTACAGCGAGCTCAAACAAGCTCCGTCCGAACCGTACTTGTTTGTGGGAATCTGACCCAAAATGGCTTCAAATTAGGGTTGTGAGATAATAACCTAATTTCAAAATCCCAGGCTCTGGAACCGAAGAAGGCTGGTGTTCTTCGACATTGCCTGCGTGAATCAGAAAGATCCAGCCCTGAAATTTGAAGGCCTTGTTGCTCGGGATTTGTCTAGAAATCTTCAGAGGCCCAGCTACCTGTGCATTGCGTCGTGATTCTCATCTCTATTTTTGTCCAGACTGTGATGTGTAGACACCCACAAGAAATAAGGTAACTGGGCTTCTGTTTTTTTTGCAGACAGACCAAACATCCTCTGGCGAAACTTTGCGGTTATCCGACCACAGCCTCGTCTGCATACTTCTAATGGGCGATCTTTGGCTTTGCTTCCTCTCAAGCGTTTGCCAGGGGGCCTGCGAGGGATTCTCCGAAACTAGAGTCGGTGCTTGGAAATCCCTTCTACAAGGAAGTGGGTTGTTCTCAAAATTCTGGGCCCCTTTTGGTTACAGATTACATTTTCACCTAATATTTAGAGGTACTAAAACGGGACCCTAATTTTGGGAACTACCCTAAACCCTAAACCCTATATACCACTATGTAACCCCCATATATACCCTATACACGCCTTTAAAGGTACCCCTAGTTTTGGGTTGTATGGCTTCTGGGTTGCATTTGCAGTAACAGTCCAGGTGAATAGTAGTTAAATTGGGGTTTACTATGGTACCCAATATGGAGTAAGATTATATCCTCCTTTTGGGTATAATATTTTATAGAAGGGATATTATCTTACCAGGTTTAACCACCAAAAGAACACTACTCAGGTTAGCCTGGGCGCGATCTTGAAAAACTCGAAGTCGCTGCTGGTTTTCTGGGACCCGACCTATGTAACCAGAAGCTTGGTCTGGTTCTTTCAGGATTTAGGGTTTAGGGTTTAGGGTTTAGAGTTTAGGGTTTAGGGTTTAGGGTTTACAGTTTAGGGTATAGAGTTTAGGGTATAGGGTTTAGGGTTTAGAGTTTAGGGTTTAGGGTTTAGGGCGCAGATTTAGTTAAGGGTACCTCTACAGTCAGATTTAGTAGGAACCCTAAGGCCGCCACAAGGTACCTTTTGAGGGATTACTATTTAGGTACTTTTCGATTCTGTTGTTCTAGCAAGGCATCCATTGCTGCACGGGAGGGCTGTGCTTGTACAGGCTGTGGGAGGGTTTTCAAACTAGTCGGAGTTGATTTCCTGAGCCCTACTTGGCAAACGCCTGTGTGATTTTCTTTATCAGGTGGTTTTGGCACCGCCGTGTAATCCTTTCATGAGAGGTTCATGTGGTCACTAAGGGCTGTGGTGCATGTTCGAGATGGCTGCATTCCTGCACAGCCGAGAGCGTGGCGTGAAGGACAGCCTGGTGGTTTGCCCCACCTTTGTGGGGCCGGCGTTGCTGCTGGGACATTTTGGCTTGACCGTCATCATGCTGATCGCCGTAAACGCAATGGACGCAGGAGTGCCTCTATTCCCGTGGGGCGGAGTGGTTGTTTGCACCCTCGCCTTCCCATGTTTGACGAGTCTCGCGTATGTCGTTTTTGCTCATGGCCGCAGCATCGAGATAATGCAACGCCAAGTCCGTCATTTCGAGATGTCACACTCAAGGTCTTTCTGTTGTGATAACAACCACGTTGCGGGAGATGGTCAGGAGATGGTTTGCGATCGGAAAATCATTGGTCGGTGCATAACCTACTGGTTCGGATCCGGAGAGCACTTTGAGAACGTTGTTCGCACGGCGGTGTTGCAGACGTTGGTTCATCAGCTGTCGCAGTGTACCTTCACATATATGCGAGTTTTGCAAGCGACCAGCCCTATGCTGTTGCTTGTCTCAAAGGACGAAGACCACAAGTCCATAGGACGCTTTTTTGTTCACAAGAACATTACGCACTATACTCTGATGATGCCCTGCAATGTTTTACTATTGCTGTTCAAATTGCTGTTGATGTTGCTCTCGCTGTTACGGTCACTATTACAAGTAGCTGGCTATTGTCATCACGATTACAAATATTCCTTTTAGCACATTACCTGTGGAATTGCTCCTCCCACGACCACTGCTGATGCTACCAGTAATAGTAGTAGGCCCCCCCCCCCTACC